CCACCACATTGGTGCTAGGAATTGAACATGCATCCTTGCAAACTCAGCAAGTCCTCTCAACCACTGAGCCATCCCTCCAGCCCAGTGGCCATTGTTTTTAATGTGACAACAACAAAAAAAAAAGTTTAAAAAAAAAACTCAAAAATAAGAGACTGAAATGTTTTATTGTGATCATTTCTAAAGCAATATCATGTTTTATAACAAGTGGGAAATAAAGACAGAGGGAAGAGAAAGAGGAAAGTGAGCCTTACAAATGGACAGCATCTACTCTGGTTTGAAGAGTCAGTCTGAAATGTAAGGGAAATTTTTTTAGACCGTTTATTCTTAAGAACTTCCTTAACTCGTCTTGAGTTAGAAAAAGCATTTTTTGCAAAGAGCACCATTTACCACATGGACAGTCCTTTACTGTGAAAACTGTTTCCTATCTGGTTTCTGGGAAAGCTCCTTTTTGTAATAAAAACGACCTGTAACAATACAATATTTTATCTGGAGATTGTATAATTGAGGATAATGAACTTCAGATTGCTTCATTGTACACGAGATGCTATATTTTATCTATTCTTTTAAAATTGTGATTATACACCTGTCTCCATATTTCCATGTTGAAAATGAAAAATTCAACAATCCAGCTGTTTTCAGTCGTCTTACAGATAAGTTACAGTGAAGATAAAACATTTAAGTGAATGGCAATTCAGTTTTTATTGATACTAATGAGTGCAATCTTTCTAGACTTAGCAAAGTCTAGACTGATTTCTTCGTTATAGTATTAAATGTTCACATTATTATAATTAAAAGCAAGAGCTTAATGCTTCGGTGGTCGTGAGCAGCAAAACATCTCCACTGAAATACTCCTGTGAGAGAAGGAGGAACCATGTCTATTTTCAGATACTCCAGAGATTACCTTTCAATTTGAAATTGTAGATATTTAATCAAACATCAAATAATATTGCTATTAATGGGTCGAAAAGGGGAATATTCATAACTAGGGTTTGTTGGTGCTAATATAAATTAGACATAAAGAAATAATATAGCAGGGCCGAGAGATGACTCAGTTGTTAAGAGTGCTCTCTGCTCTTCTGGAGAACTAAGATTCTTTCCCAGCACCCAAGTTAGCTGGCTTACAATCACCTGTAACTCCAATTCCAAAGGATCAGAAGCCCTCTTCTGGCCACTGCAGGCATAAATATGTGCACAAGCGTGTGTGCATGTACGCTTGCACACATGTGCACACACACACACACACACACACACACACACTGCATACATTTCACAAACATACATAAATAACAGAAAGTCTTTTTTTAAAAAAAAGATGGTTATATAAATAGGTTGACTACAGCTGAAATCACAGAACCCAATGGATTGTATTCATTGATTTTTAAGTAACTTAATATATCCTTACTAATTTCAAATCACACACCACAATTTCCTAACCACTCATTTACACACATATATTAATGCAATCAAAGAGCAAATTCATGATTCTTTTACACACTTATTTATATGGAAGGCTCATTAAGGCTTATAAGTATATAAAATACCAATTTCTAAGCACATCGTAAGAGAAGCCTTCTAGAACACTTGAGATTTACAACCAAGAAAGTCACTTTTTGGTCAAAGCTTACCCTTCTTAGAAATATTATCTGGTGTTTCCTAGCATGTTTCTCAGGAAGAGAAGCAAACCTCTATTTGATCAGTGAAACATAAAGATATTTATCAATGTGCTAAAAATATCAAGGCCTTTTCTAACTCAGTGAATTAATAATCACCCATTCATTTGTCTTTTTCTCCTGTGGATTTAATATTTCTTTAATACCACCTGTAGCATGAATCTTAAATGGTCTTATTAATAAAAACAAACCCAGAGCCAGGTATTGGGGTGAACACTGAAACATCAGAGAAACAGAACAAGCCACATCCAACTTCACCTTGCCAATTCCTGAGCTGATCTTGTTTCCTCAGACTGAAAGCCTCTGAGTCCTCATCTGAATGAATCTCAGCTGAACTGCTGCTAAAAGCTAAAAGCTTAAAAATCCTCTAGTTCCTGGTCCTCATGCCTTATGTATCTTTCTGCTTCCTGCCATCACTTTCTGAGATTAAAGGCGTGTGTCACTATGCCTGACTGTTTCCAGTGTGGCTTTGAACTCACAGAGATCCAGATGGATCTCTGCCTTGGGAATGCTAGGATTAAAGGTGTGGTGTGCCACCATTTTCTGGCCTCTATGTCTATGTAGTGGCTTTTCTGTTCTCTGACCCCAGAAAAGTTTATTAGGGTCCACAATATATTGGGAGACACAATATCACCACAACTACCTTAAAAAAGAGAATTGTAGGTGCTGCAGAGAGGTCTCTTGCTTCTATTTTATAGTATCAGGTTTAGGTCCCCAGTACCCATACAGTGTAGCTCATAACTCCTTGTAACTGTTTAGTACCTGCACACATGTGTCCACACCCTCCAAATACATAAATACATGGCTAAAAATAAAATAAATATTTTTAAAAAGAATGAGAGATGGCAAATGATAAAATTCAGTGTTGCTTTACACTTTAATGCAACATACAGTTTTGAAAGCAAAAGAGTAATTTTCTATGCTAATAAAGATCTTATTTATGGCTGCAGGGAACCATGGAGTTGGCTTGGTCTAGCCTACTTGAGAGATATGCATCATAGGTTTTTCAGGTTAGAGTCCATGGCTCCATCCTGGGGCACTATTTGTCTTTCAGTTCCTGGGAAACTGAGGCACTCCCTCAGGCAGTGAAGCATTCAGGCCACTTTGTGTTTCTCTGTATGTTTCCTTAGACGTCAAGGAAGCATGTAAGCTTAATGGGACTGTTGGTCTTAGACATTAATCTTGTGTACCCTATATAGCTTGCACACCCATCATCGTATCCTAGCAACTACTACCATATTGATCCTGAAAACCACCACTATATTCTGTTTCTTATAAAGGGTATAAAAGTCTGATTGCTCTCAATAAAACTGTCACAGCCTCAGGCTTGCTGTGGAGAGTCCAAACCAAGCCTCGTTTAATTTCTCGACAGCCACATCAGTGACCTTGGCTTGGTGAAGAAGGCACTGGCACTTACATGTATCCATCTAACTGTCAGTTGATACCTGTATCATCTAGCAGTCAACTCTATTCTGGAAAAAAAAATTTCTTCATTCTTGCTTCCAATTCTTGCCTTACAAAAAATGAAGAATTTTCCAACTTCAAGTGATCTTCCTCCTTAAAAGCCTGCATTCTTAAACACAACTGTGCCTGTATCTTGCACAAAAAAACCCACCATATTGTAAAATAAAGTGATATTACATAGATATGTATGGTTAGCACTTTCAGAAATATGTATGTTTTATAGGCTTTGGTGAGTTTTTTTTTTTCATATTTCTGAAAGCGTTAACTACACTTTTTCCAGACAAGGAAAACTTACTTAAAAGTTCACACTATCTTCAGTGATGTCCAGGAAAACAACTTTCAAAGGATAATGGGGAAAACTTCAATACTACAAACACTCTTTCTTGTAGATGTCATCATTTTTTTTGTTTTTTTAGTGTTAAAATACGCTATATATTAAAATATATTTATAGTATTATTGTCTTTCCAAGTGAAGTCCTGTCTTTTGAGTTCTTAAGTACTTAAAACTCTGCACACAGGTAGCCAATTTTCCTTTAGTAAATAAACTTACAGGAAACAGAAATCCCATTGTTTGCAGCTATATAGGGGGCAGGTCCTCTGCTCTGACCAGTTATTTTAAATTACATATTACAACAATTGTATAGAAAACATGTTTTTCCAAAGGCAACATCCAAGAAAACAACAAAATAGAATAATGGATAAAATCAAAACTATCTAAACTACCAAATATTAAACTTTAGCTTTAGTTTTCTACTTGCTCTTCTATGAGGGGTGCCAACATTTAACCATAATGCCATCTATATACATAGCAATCCTGGGAATATGTACCCAAGGGCAAGTGAGGGTGACAGTGAATAGAAATGTCATATCTAAGTTTAAATTATTGTTAAGAGTCCTACTAATTTTCATCACAAAACTTTGATAATTTGATGCAAATTTGATATTCTATCCCAGATACTAAGACAATTGAAGTTTGGGGGGTATTGACTTTACATTATTAAATCTGTGGTTTGGTCTAATTTGCTGGACTGAGTAGAACTAACATGTGGAAGCCACTAGCCTACCCCATGGCTCACAACTATTTTTAGAGGGTTGGATAAAAATATATGAAAACTATGAAGATGAAATCTGATTCCAGATCACTGACTCACTCTCATATATATTCAAGCCATTCATATTAAAAAAAAAGGAAAGGAAAGGAAAGAGTAAGGTTTTTATTTTTCTTGTTCTCCTTTTCCAAAGCTTATATTTTATCTACCCAATATAAAATTCTGCTCCCAAGGACCACTTATTATAAGGAAAATATATAATGACCAAACTTGTAAATGAATGATACCCATATATTAGTATTATCTGGGAGAAAAATTAGTGTGTCTATTGTGCAAGCAATAGATAGAAGGCAGACTTTTATGAGACAAGGATCACGGAGTCTCCTATGACAGGCACCACGGCACTTTAACAAGTACCATGGGAGCATTGTGCGGAGTGAATTCAAGAGCACAGAGAACGCAGATGAGAGGTAAGGGCATGTCAAAGCAGGGCAGATGCTGCCTCTGCTCTCACAACTCCAAAGCCATGGGAATGTGGATGAGTTGAGGAAGGACAATCTGAAGTTTAGCAATTCACCGCACACAAGAAACAAAGCCGAGAAAGTCCAAATGTCCTTAGTGGTGCTTATCGATGGCTAAGAGAATGGCGTGTCTATGTGACTAATGAAGACATTATAAACAACATGACATGAAAGCATTTATTTCTACTAAAACCAGAACTGTGGATCCTGATTAGCATGACTAAGAATTTCCCCCAGTCCACTCAGGGCTCTGGAGGATTTCAGCAGTTTTTAGGAAAGGTTTAGGGAAAAGTTACCTGTTTGCCACCAATGATCTAGAACAGGGACTCTGAAGACCTTTTTGGACCATTCTAGGGTTTCCACATCACATCTTTCCCCAGCCACAAACAGTGTCTTGAACCTGAATATGAGAGAGACAGTAAGTTCCAAGTATTCTCTGAAAGTTAAACTAAATAATTTCATTTATGTTAAAAAAAATCTGTTGGTATCTAATCGGTAAAAAAATGGCCTTTTAGAAGAATACTATGTAGTAGGACCATAAAGTAAATGAGTTGGGTTTACTCAAATGTAACCACACTCAGTTCACAGCACTTAGGTATTTCAAAAGCAGCACTCAGAACTACAGATAGACGCTCAGCTGAGAAGGACAATTGAGGTGACTTTATAATGTACCTGTAACATTCCTCTAATGATCAGACATAAAAAGCCTTTCTGCCTTGATATTACCCTTGCTAATTTTAACTCCTGATTTCCTTTCTTTATTCTTATAGTGTACCCAGAACATATGTTCACAAACACCCACAAAGACGGCAAATTTGATCACATACATGATTCTTTCTCATGAGTTCCTTTAGGAGAAATTACTATGATCTCATGAACGTATTTTCTCTAGTCTGAGAGAGACACACAGAAAAAGAAATGGCTAATAAAGAAGTATTACTGTAGCCTTTAGGTTCAAACACTCTTATCGCAAGGATTCTGGGTTACTGGAGGATGAAGGAGAATTAACATCACTGACAGCAAACAGTGCCCTAGAGTGGAAAGAACAAAAGAGAAAAATGAACCTAGTCTGACCCTGTTAGGGATTCATTGAAAGAAAGGCTGTTTTCCTTTCATGGTCATTGCTCTCCTGGCCTGTCTGTCAAGAGAAAGAATGTGTGGATGAGCAGTCAATTCATTATCGTGCAAGGAAAAAATATTCAACAAACAAAAACCCTGCCTGCCCATCTTGAACAATGCAGTCTGCTACTGACAGTGTCTTGCTGCTCTCTGATTTGATCAAATGGTTCCTAGAGTATTAAATAATCCTGCCTCTGTGGTTCAGGAACCTTCTGTTCCTATTTACTATAAACATACATCTCCTACAATACATTCATTCCTTCTTGTGAACATTCATCTTTATGACCCTGATGCTCAAGATTTGTTGGATTTTTAGACTCACAAAAACAAAAAAGGTGAGGAATGGAGGTTGAGGTAAGCGGAAAATTATGTCAGTTTGACTGAGTCTTTTTTTTTTTCTTTTGGTTTTTCAAGACAGGGTTTCTGTGTGGTTTTGGTGCCTGTCCTGTAGACCAGGCTAGCCTGGAATTCACAGAGATCCTCCTGGCTCTGCCTCCCAAATGCTGGGATTAAAGGTGTGTGCCACCACTGCCCAGCTTGACTGAATCTTAAAGCAAAGAATGCTGGGTTTTGAGAGCACAATCATTGATAAAGGTACAGTGATACAAGGATAAAAATCTAGAATGGTTATTTTAGGAATGTTTTTGTGCATTCTATAATATAAAGGTTTTATTCCAGCTCCATGACTTTCACATACTTAATGAGTAACCCCTGGTTCCACAAAGGGACAGCATAGCTGGGTATGAGACAGGAAAAAGGAACAGAAGTTCTGGATCAAAACGACTATAGTAAGAACTGAACATCCCAATGTAGACGAAGCAGAAGAAAATGATCTTAAAAATGATTTTATGAAGATGACAGAGGACTTTAAGGAGGAAATGAAAAATTCCTTTAAAGAAACCAAGGAAAAGACAAACAAAAAAAATGGAAAAAATCAATAAATTCCTTAAAGAAAACCAAGAAAAAGCTATGAAACAGAAGAAGGAAAAAGTTCAAGACTTGAAAACTGAAACAGAGGCAATAGAGAAGACACAAACTGAGGGAATGCTGGAAATGGAAAATCTGAGTAGATGAACAGGAACTATGATATAAACATAACCAACAGAATGCAAGAGATAGAAGAGAGAATCTCTGTTATTGAAGATACAATAGAGGAAATAGATTCCTTGGTCAAAGAAAACATTAAAACCAACAAAGCCATAACACAAAATAACCAGGAAATCTTGGACATCCTGAAAAAAACTAAATCTAGTAATTATACTAAAAGTAATAGGGAAAGAAGAAGAAGAATACAAGCTCAAAGATACAGAGAATGAGACAGAGCCTGCCAGCACCCAACTGGACTAAGAGGTGAGTCTTTATCCTTATACCCGAACACCCCATCCCCTAGGCTTTGGGCCCAGGGGCACAAACCTGAACCCCTACACCATGACCCATTGCAGTCCCAGTTTCAGGCCAGTTGGCAGGCAGACCTCCTGCACACAGGTCAGACTACCACCATCCCCCATCAGACCCTGCAACCCAAGCCCCACCTCTCCCAAATCCCACCCACCCTCGGAGACTGCAACTTTTCCCTGAGACAGAGCCTGCCAGCATCCAATTTGGACTAAGAGTCCCAGTTTTTGCCCAGTTGACAGGCTGACCTCCTACAGACATGTCAGACTACCACCAACTACCACACGCTAAGACTGCAACTACTCCCTGAGACAGAGCCCACTAGTGCCAATTGGACTAAGACCTGCTCCCTGAGACAAAGAGTCCATCAGCATCGACTAGACCAATAGCTCCCACTGGATCAAGAGTGTTAATCAGATCAAGAGAGACTCCCTCAGACACAAACATCCCTTGAACCAAGTTGAGAAAGAGATGGGTAGACGCCAGTGCAAAAATATAGTCAACAACATAAAAACCAATAGGGCTCCATCAGAACCTACATCAGCAAGACCTGAACATCCCAACACAGAAGAAACAGAAGATATTGACCATAAAAATGACTTTAGGAAGATATTAGAGATCTTAAAAGAGGAAATAAAAAATTCCCTTAATGAAATCGAGGAAAAGTCAAACAAAAAATGGGAAGAAATCAGTAAATCCCTTGAAAGCCAAGAAAAAGCAATTAAAAAAGTAAGAGAAACAATTCAGGATTTGAAAACTGAAATGAAGACAATAAAGAAGACACAAACTGAGGTAATGCTGGAAGTGGAAAATCTGAGTAAACAAACAGGAACTACAGATGAAAGTATAACCAACAGAATGCAAGAGATGGAAGAGTGCATCTCTGGCATTGAAGATACTGTGGAGGAAATAGATTCATCAAAGAAAACACTAAAGCCAACAAAGTCATGACACAAAATGTCCAGAAATTTGGGACACCATGAAAAGACCAAACCTAAGAATAATAGGAATAGAAGAAGGAGAAGAATACCAACTCAAAAGCACAGAAAATATATTCAACAAAGTCATAGAAGAAAACTTTCCCAATCTAAAGAAGGAAATGCTTATAAAGATACAAGAAGGTTACAGAACACCAAATAGACTGAATCCAAAAAAAGTCCCCTCGCCACATAATAATCAAACCACTAAACATACAGAATAAAGAAAAAAATATTAAGAGCTTCAAAAGAAAAAAGGACAAGTAACACATAAAAGCAGACCCATCAGCATAACACCGACTTCTCAATGGAGACTCTGAAAGCCAGAAGGTCCTGGACAGACATTATACAGACACTAAGTGACCACAGATGCCAGCCCAGACTATTACACCCAGCAAAACTATCAATCACCATAGACAGAGTAAACAAGATATTCCATGATAAAATCAGATTTAAACAATCCCTGTCCACAAATCCAGCCCTACAGAAAGTACTAGAAGGAAAAATCCAACTTAAGGAAGGTAGATGCACCCATAAAAACACAGGTAATACATAATCCCACACCAACAAATCCCAAAGAAGGGAAACTACCACCAAAAAACAACAGGAATTAACAATCACTGGTCATTAATATCTCTTAATATCAATGAACTCAATTCGCCTATAAAAAAAGACACAAGCTAACAGAATATATACAAAAACAGGATCCATCCTTTTGCTGCATACAAAAAACACACCTAAACTTTAAAGACAGACACTATCTCAGAGTAAAGGGCTGGAAAAAGTCTTTCCAATCAAATGGACTTAAGAAGCAAGCTGGTGTAGCTATCCTAATAGCTAACAAAATAGACTTCAAATTAAAATTAATCAAAAGAGATTGAGAAGGACATTGCATATTCATCACAGGAAAAATCAATCAAGATGAAGTCTCAATTCTGAATATTTATGTTCCAAATAAAAGGGCACCCACCTATGTAAAAGAAACATTACTAAAACTTAAATTGCACATCAAACCCCACACACCAATAGTGGGAGACTTCAACACTCCACCCTCATTAATAGACAGGTCTGCCAGACAGAAACTTAACACAGAAATAATGGAACTAACTTATGACTCAAATGGACTTAATAGACATCTACAGAACATTCCACCCTGAAGCAAAAGAATATACCTTCTTCTCAGCACTCCATGGAACCTGCTCTAAAATTGACCACATACATGGTCACAAAGCAAATTTCAACAAATACAAAAAAAATTGGATTAACTTCCGGTATTTTACCAGACCAGCATGGCTTAAAGTTAGAATTCAACAATGACACAAATTGCAGAAAGCCTACAAACTCATGGAAAATGAATAATGCTCAAATGAATCACCATTGGGTCAAGGAAGAAATAAGAAAGAAATTAAAGACCTCCTAGAATTCAAAGAAAACAAATGTACAACATACCCAAACTTATGGGACATACATCTCCTTCAATACATTCATTCCTTCTCATGAACATCTGTCTGACCCAGATGCCCATTTGTTGGATTTCCAGACTCACAAAAACAAAAAGGTGAGGAATGGGGGTTGAGGTGAGCAAAAATTATGTCAGTTTGACCGAGTCTTAAAGCCAACAATGCTGGATTTTGAGAGCACAATCATTGAAAAAGGTATGGTGATATGAGGATAAAAATCTGAAATGGTTATTTTAGGAATGTTTTTGTGTGTAATATAACATAAAGGGTTTATACCAGCTACATGTTTTTCAGAGACCTAACAAGTAAACCCGGGTTCCATGAAGGGACAGCACAACTGGATATGAGACAGGAAAAAGGAACAGAAGTTCTGGGTCAAAACTATCTAAAGAATTAAGACAGGGCAAGAGAATAGTGAGATTACAGAATGGGAGAAACAAAAACAAGCG